TCCATAATTTGAATTCACAGGTGATTGGGTGATAAGGGCATTAGATATTACAGGTTTCCGATTTGTTATTGGTGGATCACAATCATCGTAGTAGTTGTTTTGAGCCAAGACTCAATACGGATTGATAGCCATCGACTTTTCACGGCTTTTCCCTGATGACATCAGTAACATCGACCATATAGGTTGTACCTAAGTATGTTGCAGTGTAGCACACTGTGTACTGCTAACAACGGATAGACGGTTTGATCTGCGGAATATCCTTTAATGTTCCCTGGTCTTGAGATTTGTATGCACACTGAGTTTACACTAACACCTGAAGACTAGCTTCCAAGTGTCGTGAAGTACATGCACTGTACTGCATTCTTTGGTTAACTAAGTGAAAGAACGCCATACAGTACATGAATCTTGTAGATAAATGCTGACTGACTAAAATGTTGAGCAAGATCACACGGACCGTTGGCCACCGCTATAAGAATATCCAACAGATTCATGATTAACCAGTGCATCAAAATCTACATCCACAAGATTAAAATTCACATGCTGAAAAAGAAGTGTAGAATGATGCAATGTATTGCGGCTCGGATTAGTTGTCACTCGAAAAGAAGCGTTTTGGATTAGCCATTTCAATGAAAGGTCATGTCAATACATTCTATTCAACATGCAGTAACTGGAGCTTCTTCATGATTTAAAAAAAAAAGTGTGCTAATTGCTGCTGCCTTCAACCCTGTTTAATGACTCGAACCTAGATGTATCGAGTTCAACTCCATTACTTCGGAAACACACATCATCGCCCCGGGTGTTGCAATCTAGAATGGATACAAGCAAGCCAGCTAACGTACATGCTTATTGCACAAAAGCGACTTACTTAGAATAATGCTATTAGTGTTAACGAAACGGAAGCCACGAACGGGTAAAATTCTGGGCTTTCATATTGAGCATGAGCGTACAGACCAGGTTTCTGCCAATACATCTTCACTTTTATTGCCTAATAGAGCTCGGTCGTCTTAGCGAAATGTATTGTCCTGATTACAATAAGTATTAGTCTCAACTAAGTTTGCTACGGACGCGATATACATGCACCGTACGAGATTAACTGTGCCTGTTCTCTTCTTCTTCGTGTTGTTTTACAAACTAAATAATAACAGCCGTGAGAGATGCTTGCGAAAATGTTTGTTTCTGCTGCCAAACTATTCTCATTAAAAGTCTTCGATTATTACGGTGAGTCCTCTTCGGTAAGAAGTGTTGACGCGTAGTGGTGTTTGGCTTACACGCTTGTGTTACGGCACTTCGTCGATTCTGCTGCGTAGCGTGCTTCTGTTTACCACAATATTACTACTAGTACAACCGTACAGGTAAGTTATCGACCAACTCGAGAGAAAGATATATATGTAAAACAAGAGCAACCTAACTACCAACGCGTTGTAGTATATAGAACCTTCAATGTCGCTCAGAAATAGTAAATTCATTCTATTTATACTTAGTTTGCCGACAATCTCCACTGGAAATTGGGAGAAATGATAGCCTTCTCAAACACTTGCATCACTGCCTCCAAGCTACCCACTAGACTGTGTATCGGTCTCAACAAGTCTGACTGGGCTATCACACTACTAACCCGTCGTTGAGCTGGGTTCCACTCAAACTGAATTGAGCCACGCATGACGATTCTTTGGCCAAGAAGTTTCTCTGCTAGTTCTTTGTAGCTGCCGGTTTGGACCCACAAATGAGGAAACACGTTGCGTAGAGTCCGCTCTGTGATGGTGACTCTGGTCGTTGTAGAGGCGACAAGTAAACCTGTAGGTCCCCTTTCCATCCCTTCAAGCTCCAACTCGACGTTTTGAAACCATAGAGAGATGCATTTCCAGGACTTGATCATTGCTTCAGGGCCTTGTCCAGTGTTGAATGCCATATCAGGAGCCATAGTTGCCCTTAAAAGCTCAAATTGGCTTCGAGAGGACTGACTTCTACACTGGAGACCGTTTCGAAAGACTCGGAAATACTCGAGTGCCACGTTCCACAAATTCTCTCTAGCTGGCCGAACATAGGAGCCCAGACGCCGTCGTCGCTGTAAGCTCTCGATCTGCATTCGAAGCTGTTGATTCTCCACCTCCAAAGTCCTATCGTGATCGTCCTGCATCGTCCTGTGTTCTTGCTGGTGTTTCTTCTGTGTGGTAGTCCAGTCCAGTGGAACTTCTTTTTCACTTTTCAATGATTCTGTATCAGTAGCTGGCGTTTGCGCTTCACTGCCGACAGGAGATATCGGAAGCTGGCGCTTAGAAGGCACAAAAGTCGACGTCTCTCTCGGTCTCTTCCCAGTCGTGAGGGAGAGCAAACCATCCACTGCTGCGTTCCTTGCAGGTGTCACCAGCAAGATGTTGGTGTCACTCGAAACCGCCTTGTGCACGTACGTGTCTTTGATCTTTCGAGCTCGAAAGTGTGACTGGCGTGCACTAGCGAAGCCGATTCGATTAAAGGCACCAGTGGCGTCTACCGCTTGCATCGTAATCGAACTACAAGCCAAGGAGTTGCCGCTTTATCTGGAGACTGCGAGATGAGAAATGGGGTTCAAACACTGGGCACAGATGATAACGGGAACGATAGGCAGCTATTTCTGGCTGCCAGCAGTAATTGTGTGGTGTGGCAGGCTGCGAATTACTGCGTGTTTTCCTTATTTGGAGTCTCAGCGTGAATATGGAGAGTTCAGTAAAACCAGCTGGAGATGTGCCCAATTAAAAAAACTTGCAGGATCACTCAGAAATGCTGATTGCGCTGGCATTTATCTGGAAACCACTATGGGGATGTAAACTGCCGTGGGAAAAACGTGTCGAGCAAAGCCCTAAATGGCTCTTGAACTGTACGACACTACAACACCGAACCAGAATGATGAGGAGTTCTTGGAACCGTAAACCAAAAACGACTCCTTTCTGCTCTTGCGGCAACACATTGACGTGAGTACTCCAAGGAAAGCATTAAGACGCAGTACTGGAGTATATGCACCAGTGAGTGCTTTTCTTATACTGCTTGGTCTGCACCTGGAGAGCTGGAATTCGACCAATGCTCTCCTAATGATTTTGCTCGTGACGATAGTTTTCTTGCCATACATGTGGTTGACCGTAGGTAATGATGTAATCTGTGCGGCGTTCTCAACCACACGTAGGGACCTACTTTAAGTACGATTCGCAGGGTACAAAGAGATTGACTCATTTTTGTATGTGTGAGTTCTCGCGAAACCACGATCTATTTGCTTTGACAGTGTAGGGACTGCTGCCGCTTTTACGCGCTTTGATTCACCAATAATTATAAACAATAGTGAGGGAATGGTCAGCAATGTCCTAAATTGAGGGATCTAAGACTTGTCTTCATGAGCACAACGTGGTTACCACACTTTCGCTGACGCTGAATTATAAAGCTACAAAACCTGCAAAACTTGTAGTATCGCGACTAGATTTTGATCATATAATAATCTGCCTACAAATTTGACAACAAAGGTGTCCAAAAGAGCAAAAAAAGAAGCAAACAAGATATTCGCCTTTGGGGTGATGTCGAAATAACTACGGAAGGTAGTTTTGTCTACTATGATATCGCGACATTTTGTCAACTTTTACCAACGCCACGCTATCACAACTTTGCTAACTTCGTTTCCCCAACAAAGTCATATCTCTATAGCTTAAAGAAGTTAGAATGAACTAAAACCTATACTTTCAAGACATTTCTGTTCATGCTGCAGTTGTATTGGAATGCTGATGTCTGCTTTTTCTTAGAGGCTGAATTTGAGTACGCTAGAGCTTTAAATGGACGACTTATGTACTCATTTGGGTACATTAGGATAATGTGAAAGATTTGGATTTGTACAGTGCAGGTAGCTGCAACATCGGCAAAACTTCACCACCGTTCAATGTCTCAAAGCTATTAGTTCTGCCCGAATAGATACAATACTGCTACTAGTTCATTCATTTGCTGGTATAAAGACACTTATAAAATACAGTGAGTTGCCACCAACCGATATTAATAGTGGTCTGCTGCTTTGCGGATACAATCTTTGAGATGGTGACATCGATACAGTTTAATCATTCCGAATGTTTCCCTAAAACACATTACGGAACTCTTATTTTAGAAAAGACGGAGCCGCCACGTCGTACTAACTCTGATTTCTGCCAGGACGAAAAACGCAAACTGGAGTACTTCCTGTGCGCGTTACCTTCATCGATTTTCGCCACCGTAGCACAACGTGAGTACTCAGACCTCTTCTTTTTTGGAGATGTTTGGTATTTTAATACCATACGAAGCGTAACATGGCAGAGATTCGGTCTGGTCCATGAACTAGCCTGTATTCTACACAGGATCAACAAAAGATTTGCTCCGATCGTAAGAACAGCGCTAAGACTAAAACAGTACATCTGGTTTGAGGCATATATTTTGAATCACTACACATTGTGTAGTACACAAATATCGTACAGTATCCAAGAGTCCATCTTGAATATCGGTAAAAGATCCCCCCCCCCCCCCTCCTCCCCAGTGTCGAAAAATCTTTGAGATCCTTGTAAATAAAAAAGAACGAGTTAGGATCAATGGTAACACGGAAGGTATTCAACGAGTTATACACGTTACCAAGTTTGAGCTTAACAGAATAATGCAGCTAACTGCTCTCGTTGGTTCTACTGCTGTATTGTACACCGAAAACTAGTTGAGCAGTGATTCTCAATTAAAATCTATAATGCTGCTTGACTCCACGTCTAAACGAGAACTTGTCACTGACAAATTCATTTACGACTGAATTACCTATGCGAAATTAAGGTATTTTATAGTACACAGATCTCCAAGCGCTGGTTATTTCCATTGGAAATCTGACGAAATATGGGACTTGTAAAATACGCGAGAGACGTCATCCAAGTTACCCAGAAGACACAGCATCGGAGTGAGCATATCTGATTGAGATATCACAGCAGAGACTCGTCGAGACGCGGCATCCCACTCGAAACGAGTCACTCCGTCCAGGTGGAATCGATGACCAACAATTTTCCCAGCCAGTCGATGCAAGTCTTCGTCTTCGCCACTACAAAGATGCGGGAACACGTTACGAATTGTGAGCCCACTGATAGAGACACTGGTTGTCGTGGTGGCGACAAGCGACCCATCAACACTTCTGACCAAGCTATCCAGCTCTATCTCCAGGGCTTGGAACGCGTACGTAATGTATTTCCAACTGGTAATCATGGTCTCAATACCTTGTTGTGCGTTGAAAATGACGTCGGGTGACATTGAAGATCGAAGGAAATCCAATTGAGTACTGCCTTTGCTGGTAGAGGATTGTCCATTGGCTGAAAGACCGTAGCGAAAGAGTTTGAAATATTCCACAGCAACGTTCCAAACATTTTGTTGGGTTGCGTCGATTGCGGATAGCGCAGACTTTCGCTGACTGAGGATCTTGATTCTCTCTCGAAGTATCTTTGTTTCTGCTTCAAGACTGAGCATGTACTCGTGCTTCTTCTTCCTGTACCGGATCTGACGCTCACGTCGAAGTGTTCGGATACGCTCCCTCTCTGCGATAACTTGCTGTATTGTGGCCTCGTAGGGGTTCGAGCTTCTGACTGTTTCTGGCATAGTTTGGATTGTAATAGCAGTCGCATCGCGGCTGTCGGAGGTTAGTGTTTGCTGCTCAGTGTTCATTAACGAGGGCATTCTCGAGGTCGTTATTGGACGGTTTATAGCGACCGCAGCGCCATGTTCTCCCAGATGAGTTCTTGCTAACTCTGTCGAGAGAACGTGCTCGGATGTTCGGCAGTGCTGTGGGTATTGAACCTTGGCGAGCTCAATATTCCTCGCGGGCCTCTTGGCTTCAACGGTACCGTAAATTACAGCATCGTTTAGAGTGTGGCTGTTGGGGGGACGAAGAACACCCTGGTTCACTGTAATCAAAGAGGACTCTAAAGCTCGGGATCGCTGCGGATACTGGGAAGATACGTCAGTACTGGCAACGGCCTTGGCCTCGTAGATCTCTACTTCTCTCGCTGGTCTCTTGAATTCGGTGTCATCGTAAATTAGAGCGTCGTTTAGAGCATGAGTGTTGGGAGAGCGAAGAACATTCCTGCTCATTGCGAGGACTTGAAGCTCCTTCTGCTGAAGTTCTCTTTGTGTCAATGCAAAGTTTAGACTGATGTGCAAGCGGCTCATGTCAAGTGAAGAACTTGCGGCAAGACTCTTGCCGAGCCTGGATACATCGGTAGCATGCAAAGCGGCAGAACCAGCATGTATATTTATGTATGTTGCACTACCAGATTACTTGGGGGAGGCCTTGAAGCGTTCCGTGTTCGTGTGCTCTTTTCATTGGGAGGAAGGCTGTGCAGATCGCGCACTCGACTAGAGTGATTGCGTTCGGTAGCTACTTTTGATATATTCCAGCCACGATGTACAAAAACTACGCCGAGAATCACGCTGCGCGGATCCATAGACAGAAAATGCGCACAGCAAAGCCCAAATCTGCTCATTCGTCTTAACTACACGCCCCCACAAGTCGCAACCGCAAGCTTCAAATCTGACAGTGGCTACAGGAGCGGTACATGTATGTTGAGTTGGGATGAATGTCAGCGACAAGATGGCGGATACGATTGATATCCCCAATAGTGGTTCTCATTAAGTAAGGCGGTCTCCAATTTAACTTCTCGTTACTGAAACACTCTGTAGTGCTGTTACAAAAACAGACTTATTTCTTTTAAGAGGTGGTTAACTATGCATATACACCATTCTGTATTGGATCCCTTAAAGAATTCAAGCACATCTGTCCTATCCAGCCGCTCACAAAAGCTTTCCATATCGAAGCGAAACTCAACAAAGTGTGTGTACAACGGAAGAGACATCTACTTAACACTAACATTCCTTTTATCTCACATTCCAATTTCCACAAACGCTTTCATTCAGCACATTTGCCGAGTATGCCCACGGTACCAGTCAGGGCTTATGAAACTTCAAAGGCATACGGTTTTTGGCGTGGAGGCTTGGCATCGCCGGTGCACATCTATGCTCTTGTCCTACAACTCACACCTGTGAGAGTATTACAGTACTTTGTATGCCCGTGAGCATCGTCTTGACGCTACATGTACCACAAATATGGCTCACCTCTAAATAACAATTCCTTTTAATAACGATATTGTTTGATTATATCACTAATGAGAGGATATACATGTATTTGGTTCAGTACTTGAAGTATTTGAATAAAAAGTACTTTGTATAGAAAAAAGTGTGCATTGGTTTTGGCCTACTTTTGATCTTTTTTTATTATGGTGGACAATAGCAGTCAAGACAAGAACTTTTTTCAGAAAAAGTGCTTTATGAGAAAAAGTCACATTGGAAGAATGAAGTACGCATGCTGATTGGACGGGATGGCATTCAGACGAAAAAAAAAGCATTAAAAATTTAATGGTTTTTTTTTCGTCTGAATGCCATCCAAGCCTATTTTATTACGGTAAGTTATATACGTTGCAAGCTGTGGTGACAAGTCCATAATTTAGTGCTTGATCACGGAAACCTTTTAAGTATTTGTACATGTACAGCGTCAAGCACCGTCTTCTTGGAGTTTACAGCCTCGCGTACAATCGTCGATCCATTATCAAATAGTGCTTTGCAGTCGATGACTTGATGTATTTCCGGTGCGATTGTGGGGCGATCTTGGAACGGCAGTGCGATGCTCTCCTCACAGCGAACCCCATCGAACAGCTCCTGCCGACAGGTATCTTCACAGCAATCCTGTGCATGCACGCTCCAATTTGCTTCTGAGACTGTAAGATGTCATTCTGAATGCGAAAGGCTTTATCGAGACAGTTCATCTTATTCGAGGTAAGATACGGGAGCTATAATACGCATAGCTCCGACCAAGATCTAAGCAATACGTGTCGTTATACCTTCACGAGTTGCGGAGATTTCACTGAAGAAGAGCTGCTATAGTACACATAACAGCGCTAGATCACAGCACTAACTTATTTTCTGTCTTACAAACAACAGGATGCAGAAAAATGAATTCACATTTATTTGAAGGATTTTAATGATTTGGCTTCAATTAGAAATCCAGGGTGACTGAAGCCCCCTTAAACACGAGAGATACGTTCTCTAAACTTCCTACAAGACAGAGCATCGGTGTCAGTATATCCGACTGGGCCATCACACTCGATATACGTCGGTACACCGGATCCCACAAAAATCGCGTCGTGCCATGGATCGAGATCTGCTGTCCTTGGAGTTTCTCAACCAACTTTAACCCGGCAGCGTCTTCCCTGCTGTGAAGGTCGGGAAACACATTGCGGAGCGTATGATCAGCGATCGTGACTTTAGTTATTGTGGCAGCAACAAGAGATCCCGCGTCTTGCTGATCCAGACTCACCAGCTCTAACTCGACGTCTTCAAACATCGCAGTGAGCGATTTCCAAACTTTGATAAACGCTTCTGGGCCATATCCGACGTTCAAGGCAACGTCTGGAGCCATAGTGGATCTCACGAAACCCTCCTGCTTGGACGTCCCATCATATCCGTGTTGAAAGACTCGGAAATATGCTGCTGCAGCGCCCCAGACAGAGTCGGCGGTTGAAGCGACGTTGAAGACCGCGCAACGCTGTTGGTCGAGTTCCTTGATCACTTCTCGAAGACGACGAGTCTCCTCGTCCAAACTGTCAACGTAGACGCCTTTTTTCTTGCGATATCGAACCTGCCGCAGTCGGCGGAGCTCGCGCAGACGCACCTGCTCCGAGAGAAAAATCTGTGCGAGGGTCTTGGCTATTTCGTCGTGACAAAGAGTGCCTGAGCCGGAAGCCCGTGACTTCTGCAGCGTTCTCTTAATGTCAGCAGTGTAAAGTGCATTGGCTCTTGAACTTGGAGCGTGCTTAGAGGTAGTGAGTGATTTTCGCAATCGCTTCTGCTCATCGGGGTGGGGGCGGTGGGGACTGTCGGATCGCCTTACACGCTGGACTACTCCAGCAATGACATCGTCGCTGAATCGCTGGCTGTTGGGTGGGTAGAGAGCGCAAGTGTCCATTGGAGGCGATTTACTTTAGGCAAATTGAAAATGACAGTGAGAAGGCGGCCGAATGAGAGGACAATGGAGGCTACTGCCTTATCTGCAAACCTTGATTGTGTGGGTAGCAGTGGGTTGGTACAGCTAACACTACGGTTGAGGTGGGCAAATCGAGAGAGTCACCACGCTGCTTCAGCTACTCAGCACGAAATCACCGTTTACCAAGTTACTGCTACATACATGTACCTCCCAGGTAATGCATGTAACACAGTGAGATTGTGATTAAAGTGACCATGCTTTACTGCCTTGATAGTCCTAATAACAAGGGCACCGGTATGTTAGATGGCGATGGACTGGTAGGACATTGGATTATGGAACGCTTGGCTTACTCCAGAGTGGAATTCCTTGTACTACATAAAAAGGGCACCTTAAAACTAGCAACACAGATATCAGGATACCGGCTCCAAGAAAACTCATTCTTGAAAATCTAAAGATCATGTACTTACAAAGAATGTGTGGGTATTTTGAGGCGTTCTATAGTCGTGATTTACCCAATAAAAGACCTCAAGTAGATAAGACGAGAAAATGATAATGTATATTGCAGTTCAGTGGTTTGGATTCAACCGGAAGTCAGGAGAGATAAGAGCACCCTCAAATACGCGAGACACGTTCTCTAAACTGCCAAGTAGGCGAATCATGAGCGTCAGCATATCCGACTGGGCCAGTACGCTAGATACACGTCTACACACAGGATCCCACACAAACCGCGTCGTGCCACACATTGAGATAGACTGTCCAAGAAGCTTGTGTGTCATCTCTAGTATCACAACGTTGTCCCTGTTGTAAAGGTGGGTAAACACACTGCGGAGCGTATGCTCAGTGATCGTCACAGTGGTTCTTGTCAGAGCAACGAGCACCCCCCGTATCGTCCCTACCCAGGCTCTCCAACTCTATCTCGGCGTCGTCGAACTTTTCCGATAGGAATTATTGAAAATCGCTTGTGTACCATATTCGGCGTTGAAAACAACGCCCGGAGTCATTTTAGCTTTAAGAAAATCCTCTTGAACGTTAGGGTAGTCTCGTACATCCAACTTCGCTGCAAATTGGCTTACGGAAGCCGTAGCGGAAGAGTCGAAAGTACTCAACCGTTACACCCCACGCAGTGTCGATCGTATCAGCAAAACTGATGATCGCTCGACGCTCTAGCTCGAGTTTTTCGACCACTCTTCGAAGACGATAAGTCTCCTCCGCTAGACTGTTAGCGTAGCTGACTTTCTTCCTGCGGTACCGAAATTGGCGCGCTCGACGGAGTTCACGCAAACGAGCCTTCTCGTCGATAAGGCCAGCGAAAACTTTGGCTTTGTCGTGCTGGTTAACAGCGACCACGTCGGAAACCTCGGAATCGTCCGGCGCTCTCTTCGTCTCACATACTGGCGTGGCTCCTTGACTTAGAGATGCCTCCCGATACCCTTGATCGAAGGCTGTGGCAGGCCTTTGCGTTTCTGGTTCGTGTGTCTCTAGATTCCATTGAGGCGGATGAGGACGATCCAAAACTCTGGCAACGTGAATGTCAGATGAATTGTCGGTTCCTCTTGTACGCTGGACTACACCAGCAATGACAGTTGCTCAACTGCTGACTACTGGATGGATGGAGAGTGGAATTGTACATTGGAATGGAAATGAGAGCAACGATGTGATTGAGTCGGAGTAAATTGTGAGATGAAGTGGTCTGACGAGTAGCGGGACACCAGCTTTTGGCAAACATAGATTATCATTGTGACCGGTAACGCTACGCCGCTGGTGATGACAGGTGGTTAGACTGAGAGAATGACCATAAGGGAGACATCTACTCTCAGCAAACACTTGCTGTGTAACGCTACTGTATGGATGCACGCACAACGGATGAAAGGAACGTGCAGTGATTAGTCACCTTGTTGGTTCATGCGGGTATGTAGATAATATGCATCTAATCAGGGTTACATGCTGGGCCTCGTCGTCGATTATAATGATAATTGTTGGCGTCGCCCAGGCCTAGCTGGCCTACTGGTGGTGGGTAGGTGTCACATGTAATCGAAACTCTACCGTTGGTAGGCTAGAGCAAACTGGCCTTGAAACTCGAGCACAGATTTGAGTTTGAGTGGTGGTGAGCGTTGAAAACAACAGTCAAAATGGTGTTTGTGGCGCCTAAACTGACAGCAGATGCACAAGACGGTCAAAGCGAGTTCGTAGCGCTGGGCCGTCCTTCTTTAGGAAGCCGTCGACGGCACGGCAC